GGCAGGGCCCCGCCGCCCGAGGCCCCGCCTGTGCCTTTGCCAGCACCGTGCCCCATTTTCCTTATTCTTTGTTATTTACTTTTTCCCGGGACCTGGGTGCTGGTTAATCTCATTTGGCAGCTATGGATTGTCTCCACAATAATCAATGGCTGTGCATTCGGCCGGCTTGCCCCGGCGACTCCACTGCCAGCACCGTGCCCCATTTTCCTTATTCTTTGTTATTTACTTTTTCCCGGGACCTGGGTGCTGGTTAATCTCATTTGGCAGCTATGGATTGTCTCCACAATAATCAATGGCTGTGCATTCGGCTGCATCGCTCAGCTGATCCCACAGGGATGAGCATCCAGCACCAGCGGGAGCCTCAGGCACAGCATCCCTGCTCCAGAAGGGTGGTGGGAAAGCTCATGGCTCTACACTCTGTTCCCAAGGGGAGACCCAAAGTCTCTGGTGATACCCACTGACCACTGCTGAGCCAGGGCACAGGGACCCGGGCAGCTCCGCTCAGATGATTTAATGGAATCATGGAATGGTTTGGGTTGAAGGGACCTTAAAGCTCCTGCAGTTCCAACCCCCTGCCCACGGGCAGGGACACCTTCCACTAGAGCAGGTTGCTCCCAGCCCCTGTGTCCAACCTGCCCTTGAACACTGCCAGGGATGGGGCAGCCACAGCTTCTCCGGGCACCCTGTGCCAGCACCTCAGCACCCTCACAGGGAAGAGCTGCTGCCCAAGAGCTCATCTCAATCTCCCCTCTGGCAGGTTAAAGCCATTCCCCTTGTCCTGTCCCTCCATCCCTTGTCCAAAGCCCCTCTCCAGGTTTCCTGGAGCCCCTTTAGGCCCTGGAGCTGCTCTAAGGTGTCCCCTTGAGGAGCCTTCTCTTCTCCAGCTGCCCCAGCCCAGCTCTCTCAGCCTGGCTCCAGAGCAGAGCTGCTCCAGCCCTGCATCCACGCTGGCCCGTGTCCCCAGGTAGCCATCTGCATGGTCTAAGCTCATCAGCTCCATCACGTCATCCGCTACCAGAGCACAACCGAGTCATGTGAGAAACAGGGATATTGCTTAAAACACTGTTATACCCACAGCACGGAGCTTTGGCTGACTCACAGAAACATGAAACTCACTGACGGGATGAATTGGAGCTATTAGAACACAGAGGTAATTACTCCTCTGAACAATGCCCTTCTCAGCTCTTTAATGATTACACAAATTAGTGCATAAAATTATGTTAATGGCCCTACAACTGTTGCACACACACACAGTGCTCTGGTGGGGAGGGATGAGGAACAGGCTGAGCCCGGACCCTCGCACTGCCCATGAGCGGGGCGCTGGCACAGGGTGCCCAGAGAAGCTGTGGCTGCCCCATCCCCCGCAGAGTTCAAAGCCCG